AACTCAGAGGAGATCGAGCTTTTTCGGTTGTTGGTCCTAAATAATGGAATGAGCTGCCCCTGTGTGTTAGACAGTCTGAGTCAATTCCTGTTTTTAAGTCTCGTCTTAAGACACACTTCTTCTCACTGGCTTTTAATTGAGTTTCAATAGATTTTTGGCTGTAAATAGTGTTTTTTTTTTTTTTTTTGCCACTGTTTTGTATATTTGTGTATGTATTTTTCCGTACAGCACTTTGGTCAACCATGTTTTTATTAGTGCTTTATAAATAAACTGGATTGGATTGGATTGGAAAGTAACAGTGACTGTTGGCACAAACAGGAGGTGCACTCACTACCACAGGCCCAATCTTACATAGAGATCCAACTTAGACAGAGTAAGGATTATGTGTAGTCATTTATGTATTTCTATTGTGGACATGACAATTTCGTCTTGTCACACAAATTAAAAATCTTATGTTGCCTGCCCCTTTCTTAAAACATGTACAAATTAAATACATAATAAGATTCAGCACTCCTCCTTCAAACTGTTTGTATAGTATGTTATTTATTTGTTTTCAAAATTCTCTGTTTTTTATCATATAGATTTATTCCTAATTTTCTAATCATTTATTTCATACAATTTCACTGTTGTTGCTTTGATTTCTTACCTAATGATGTGGTACTTTTTATGTCATATTTGAGTTGATTCCATAATTTTCGTAGCTGCCTTCTGTTGTAGTAATCCCTCCATCCATTTTCTTCCCCTTAATCCATTTCTGAGGGGGTGGCAGTCAGAGCTACTACCCATATTCACACAGCACCAGCCCCTTGCTTGCCGGGAGCTGCTGTAGTAATAAAATATTTAAAGGAAATTTGCAATTCTGACTTGGATTTGTGTCCTCTTTCACATCCTGATCTTCACACAGGTGCATGAAAAAGTTGCTGTATTGAACACTTTGATAATGAGCAGACTTTCTAACTACTATTCTAAAAGCAACGGCATAGAAGTACAGCGAGAAAAAACAGGATTATTTTCTCATGCTCTGTTCAGATTGGCACATTGTAAGACTTCGCCGGCCCCTGGGTCACTGAGCTGAAGCTGCTAATGAAATAGCCCAGGGGAACACAGAAAGACATTTTTTTTTTTCTTTACATAAAGTGCAGGAAGTTCATCAGACATGGCTGTGGGGAGTCTACCTTTGTGACATATGGCCTTTATGTGGAATATTACGCTCGTCAGAACTGGCCCTATGGCAACCTGCTTCTCTGCTAATTGCACTATTTGAATGCATTACGATGACTCAATGATAATGTACTGTTTCAATAGAAGCTCATTTCTATACATGGTTGAGTCGAGCAAACTATAGTGAGCCAGTATAATACATGCTCTGGTGCGATAACATCAAGGAGTAATGGTTTAATCAACTGAAAACTGTTTAAATGGTCTTTTGTTTAAAGCTGGGAAGAAGTGGCAGACTTTTCCAAGCTGTTTTTTGTGAAATGTATTAGTTTATGTGTTTGAAGTTTTCTTACTAATTCTTATATGCAAGATACAAAAACTTTAGACTGCAGTGGAGTTTGCATGTTTTCCCCGCTGCTGCGAAGGTTTCCTCAGGGTGCTCCGGTTTCCCCTACCACTAAAAAAAACATGTACAATAGGTATGAATGTAATGAGTGAGGGAATGGATGGTGTTTGGTCGGAGGCTTTGATGGTCCAGTGTGTTCGGCGACTCACTTCCGTCATCACCGTGAGCGGAGAGAAACTATCTGAACTCTGAACATTGTACAGTGCTTTGGGTGACCTTGGTCTGTAAAATGCGCTAAATAGATAAACATTACTTACTTACTTACTTATTGAGACAGATATATTGTCCGTCAGAGCTTTTTTACAGGGCTCTTTATGTTCCCTGAGGAATTGAAAGGGCCCAAAGATTATAGCAGTCACACATTTAAAACTTCAAAACAAAAATACATGACATGATGCCCTTTTGGAATTGAGTAAATAAAATAAAAAAAACAATATATTTCCAACAAACAATGAATGCAGTCTGGGTTGTAGATTGTCGTGCCACTAGCGTAACTATGAGACAGTTCAGTGCCTGTAGATAGCACACAATCATATTCAAGTAATGTTTTATCACCTCAATTATTGCTCAGTTTATTGCAGAGTATTGTGAGAACTTGCTCTAAAATCACTGGAGGAAAACAGGCGCTGCATCAAGCAAAGTGTATTCTATCTCAGCTCCAACATCCTGTGATTGCTAACTTTGTGCCCTCTGCAATAAAACTGTTGAGCTCTGGAGGTGTCTGACTTTTGGGAATTGCTGTGTATTTTATTGGATTGTCCTGCGTGAAGCATGACAACTTGATCAGTCGCACGTGATAGAAATGAGCAAGACTAATGGACTCAATATAACTCTTCTATTCGGCGCCAATCAACCAGATGTACAAGGAAGTGCCAGAAAACAGCTTTCAACCAATCACAGAGGCGTACTCAGGACATGCCCACGCTCGCACTCGCACAACCTCTTCAGGAAATACTCAATCCCTTTTTGCAGTGATACAACTAATCCCGTTTCCTCGATATTTTGGTAATATTTATAGAGCGACAAACAACTAAACAAAAGGATCAAAGTCACATGGTTTGATAGAGCGCCGGCCTCAGAAAAACAGAAAATTACATGGAAGATTATCCTCAGCTGCTTGAAATAGCGGCTTCAAAATCATTATTGTTTTCAGCATGTGGAAGGCATTTTTCTATTATTTTTGTAAGCCGTGCTAAAATGCAAACCAATGTGACATCCAGAAAACAATGTGACAATACGCTTCGAACCAGCAACCAATTTTTACATGTCTTTCTAGTAGTGGTAGGGGAAAGTAAACAAAAACAAAAAACAACAGTGGTAAAAATAGTAAAGGCATATTTAGTAGTAGTAGTAGTATTGATAGCAGTAACAGTATTTTGTAATGAGAAAGAATCGCTAATATGTAATTTGATTGGGTTCTGGTACTTCCCCTTTAACTTGAGTTACAGTCCAAAGTAAAAATGCAGTATCCAGATAGAGATGTATTGTTCTTAAACAAACAGCGCCGGTGACTGGATCTCTACGGCAGTGCACACTCCAGTATTAATAAGGTCATCCATCAGGGCTAAAGGTTCCTGTCAGATGATTGGGAAAAGCCAATTAAAAGCGCTGTCCATTTCTCTCAATGTGGACAGCCTAATTAAATATGTATTAATACAATCGGTGTCTGCCACTGAACAGCATCCACCTGACCTGCGTCAAACAGCCATTCTGAGGGTGGCTCTCAAATCTTAATGAAGGCTATACGCTGCCTGATAACTATATCAGTATGTGCCATTTAAAACAGCAACTTTGAGGAGCTTCTAATGTTACACAGGATGCACCAATTACTTATCCCCAACCAATTTCCTATCCTAATGTGCATGTGTTAAAAATAGAAAAGATCGACATTTAGCCAAATCCAACTTAATTGGATCAAAACATGTCTTGTCCATCCACACAACAACTGCAGTCATCTTGAAGGGACAAGGATGGAACCGAAAATAATTTATGACCATTTAGAGGACCAAGCTATACAGTAGATGCCTGTCGTGCTCAAGGGTACAATGACTTCATATGGGCTACATGCAAAGAGTGATTCATATTGCTATAATCATAGTAATCTAATGGCTCAAAGTACAGGTTATTCATTGATGGTCCTGTCCACATCTCATTTCCACCAGTAAGGCAGCTGCATTGAACATAACTGTAATTCAATTGTGAAATCCCATACCCACATACTGTCAGACATCCAATCATCCATGTATCCTGCTATTCATTTGCACTTGAATGTAATTGGGATTTCGGCTCCCATCTTCATTCAGGCTAAACTCGAGCAGTGCACAGCAGCAGCCCATTCAGGACCCACAAAGCAGATCGTTTAGCCGGCCGTTCCCACTCTAATGGCGCGCGCTATTGTCGTGGGATACACCCCGGCAATTAAGAGGATGTTGAACCCTGAACTTTATATTCCACCAGAGAAAGGCCCGGGCGTGCGCCGCTGGTAATCCCCCGGGCGGAGTCCTTGCTCTGGCCGGGCAGGAGCATGGCTGACCTGTCCCTTTGTGGCAGAATTAATCCTCGTACGTAGATAATGGCCGTGCTGGGGCACGCCGGGTGCGGTGGGAATTATCATGCAGCCATAGAGACGTTTCAATCCACTCTGGGGTAATGGGGCGCTGTAGGGATGCATGCAAAGAGGAAATGGCTCATAAATGTTTAGCATGTGGCAACCAGCTACAGGATTTAGAATAGGACATAATGAGAGGTGATTCTTGCCCAAAGGTGAGTGGAGATTGAACAGTCTACCTTTTAATGTGAGAAATACACAACAGTTTCGATAGCCTCTCCTGAACTGTACCATTATTCATTAACTCCACACTTTTCTAGGAAGCCCTTTTGTAGACACGGCAGTCTTGGGTTAAAATGACCAAGAGCAAGGCCTAGACCACATGTCACTCAACCATCTAACAAGCGGATGCTGTTAAAATGCATCAGTAACTCTGGGTGAAGGATCGACAGTTGGATCCAAAAGACAATAAGAAAATGCAGATAAATTAAATAATATCTCAAACTAATGGAAATTTTACAAGGCCAAAGATTCACACTAAACCTGTCAGAGTCGTCAGTTGTGTTAAGAGCTTTGCAAGAATGGAATAATTTACAACAAAAAAGCACAAGCTTGCCTTTCTTCAAAATAATGAAATGTATTAAAAATAACAAAGATATAGGAGTTGATACCGTAAAAACCTAACAGTTTGAGCGTTCTCATGCTTCCAAATGAAACAATAAAACTGAATATTGCCAGTAAGAAATTTGTGAAGATGTTAGCGTCAAACTGAATTGTTTTGTAGTTGTCAAAACCCATCCGCAATCCAACACGTCTTGTTGATCTTCTGTCAGGGTGTGTCCGTCCGCAAGTGTTAGTGCTTTTGAATGTGTATTTTGGAGGGTATTGTCAGAATTGCACCTTGTCAAGAGTGACCGGCCAGCTGGGACCAAATAACAGCTTGTGCACATGGACCCCCGCGTATCTCAGCTGGAGAGACAAACAAAGTCGAATATACCCCGCATGCCCACGAGAATGTTAAACCAGAGAGCAAACTTTTCATTTTATACTTTTTTCGGTGAGATTTTGTCCTATAAAATGACGAGGCGGTGTTCAAGGGAGAAATAGCGAGAATGACCTATGAGCCTCCAGAGTAAAGACTACAGTAAAGAGAGTACTCAGCTGTGCGGTATATCTCGAAGTGTATTTCCTACGAGACCACGGAGGAGCAAAGACCAAAGACAGTCCTCTAATTAAGCCGTTAACTGGAAGGATGTTACAGTGTTTGTTCAAGGTGCAAGTGTAGCAAGTTTTATCTTCAAAACTAATTTGGAGACATGTGAAATTGAGTTTTGTAGCACTAAAAATTATCTTTTTTTTTTTTAATCACGAATCCGGGATCATGATCATAGACGCAGTATTAAAACCATCACACATCAGTTCCACAGGTTTGAACAGGAGGTCAATGGACATGGTTCTACTGTACTACAAATCAGTATGTATTTGTGTTTAACTGACTATTTATTTATCTATGTACAGTAGGTCCCATTTCGTTTTGTCGTCTTCATTCACGCTTTTTATGAATCACGCAGCTGCGTGAAACATATTACATCCTATCGCCACTAGGTGGCAGGTTAAGTCCGCTTTAGCTCTGCCAGCGACTTAAACGCTCAGGTATAAGACTGCGTGCAAACCTGTTTTGCCTAGTGACGCACACATGTGGCGCAGAACTAAAAAAGGTCTTGTTATGACTCTCAAATCATTAATGACAAAATAAAGACTAAAACGAGGATTTATATCGGGATGCCTTTGAACAATTGAGACAGCTGATAAAAGTTCACGTGTGATGCAGAATTTTCTACTTTCACTCCGTTCTTCACAGTGTCTTGTTCGTGTGAATCGTTGGTCGAGTGGTCTAGACCATGCGCTTGCGATGCAGCAACCTGGGTACGATCCCGGGCCATGTGTTTTTGTATTTATTGCATGTTATCACATTCTATGACAGATTGCTCTAAAAACGGTAAAAGATGAAGGTCAAGACGTTTTTTTGCAGATTATAGCTTAATTGTAAAAATAATCATTTAAGACCACATGTACCCCAATTAAAATAATGTTAGTCTCTTTTTGATGTGGAACTTTTACATGTTTGTCTAAAAAATAGGGAATAAATAAAATTGAAAGGTGATATTTTAAGATTTTAAGAGTTTTTCCTTGTCGATGCAGGAGGGTCTTGTTGGACAGTTAGTGTCCAACAGAAAGGATTGGTGATGATCAGGACACTTTAGCATTCTACAACATGTATGGACATTTTCTTCTGTGTGTGCTTTATATTCTTCATGTGTTTTAACTGTTGATTCTCTGACCTGTGTTGGTGATTTCAATGGTTTTGTAAAGTCCTCTGAGATGACTTCTGTTGTGACCTAGGGCTATACAAGAATAAATTGTATTGTATTGTAATTGTATTGTATATCCTCTTGAGCAAACCCTGATGTTGATACGCTGAAGAAATACATTCCAACATCCATTCTTCCCACTCCTATTTTGGACATCAATTGCTTATTTATTTTGCATAAACTATGTATAATTACATTGATTTTATTTATTTATTGACTGTGACTGCAGTACCACTTTTGGCCAGATTTTTACATATTGTTCCTTTAAGTCATCTTTTATTTGAGAACAATCACTGCATGAAAAGTGTGATTTTTGTCTCTTTTCTGCCCTGTATATTACTGTGAAACTTCTGGGATTCGGCTGTTGACGGTAGTTTGTTGTCCCCTCCTCCCTCCTCCACAGGAGGCTTTAACATGTAAATGGGAATGCTGTGAGCTATACAAATGCTAATCAGGGTTGAGGGGGTGCACAACTTGATCCATGCTGCACAACTCCTGCACAACTCCTTTCAGTCAGTCTGCACCTTGGATCAGGTCACACACTGTAGACCCGGATTTTGTAAATGCTCAAACTGTTTACACACACACACACACACACACACACACGTACACAGAGACATATTTCATCATGATTGATTATAGCTTGTCATGTCAAAATCAATTAAATAAATCCAATAGGACAAAAGACATGTTGAAAGTGTAAGTGCTCATCAAAGGATATATGTATGTACAGTACAGACCAAAAGTGTGATTTTTCAGCCAATCACATACATATCCATTACCTACACAAAACATGTGTAGATATACCAAATTCAATTTCCATGGATATGTGAGATTTCATAACACTTTGAAGCAACTTTTGTTCAAGTTAAACTCATCATTCTATCAATGTGCAGAAGCCAGTACTTTTCCCTTGTTTTGTCTATCTGAAGGCCAAGCTACATGGCACGTGGCAGCTGCTGATTGGAGGTCTCCATGCCTCCGCTCTGTATAATACACTTGCATTCTGTTGTTCGTGTTGTTCGTGCTGTCTCTACCATCAACAATAAAACATGTCTTCTGTCGGAATTAAAGACGCGATCCCAGACCATGTCATCTTCTTCAGGTGGTGGAGGATGCGGGCCTTGTCTGTAACATCTAGTGAACAGAAGACTTATTTTTTTTACACAAAAATGTGTTGTTATTTTTAAGCCAAAACTGAGAAACCTCAAGAGAATGCATCTGGATCAGCACTTGGACAATCTGCACAGCCCCTGATTCCAGTCAGGCTGTGAGCTGCTGAGACATGGACAATACCATCGTCCTCTTTTGCATGGACACCATTTGGAAAAATTGGATTACACAATTTGGACATGATTTGGACTGATTTGGATTTCTGAATCTGGACACTGAAGCTGAAACGTGTGATTGAACGACACGTCACAGAAGAATCATGGCTCGGCACAAATGCAGCCTGAGGAATCAAAACAAAGAAGTGGGAGAGACTGTTTTCAAAGCAATATCTGGAACCACCATCGACTGATGAAGTTTGGTATTTTACTGAAGATTGTTGACAAGTTTTATGAAAGATCTGAACATGTTTTATGAGTTTTATGAGTTTTTGAAGTACAGAGTGAAGTACCAAGTTTATGAGTTTTCTGAGTTTTTGAAGTACCGAGTGAAGTACCAAGTTTATGAGTTTTTGAAGTATTGAGTTATGATGTTATGTACACGAGTGTACACTGTATTCTGAATACTTTTACTTTGATTAGCAATATATAGGCTGTGTATAATTACAAAAATTTAAACTGCACATGTTAGATATATATGGAAGCCCGTTTCCGCCATGTAAAAAAAAAAAAAGCCTACAGAAAGT